CTCAATTGATATAATTTATTTACAACAATTAATAAATTTATCTTATTACTTTTCACGTAAGAAAGTATTCTTACATTCGCTCTAATTTAAAGAGATGTGCAATCATATAAAACGGGAACATGAATACAGAGGCAAAGGTCAATAAAATATTAACTCCCGAATATTTGGAGTGGGAAGCTAAATTAACAGAATTGCCAGGCATTTTGACAGATAAAATTCGTTCTAGGTTATATAAAAGATATAAGAATAAAATTGGGCTCAATCCCTGAATAAATTCTGAAACTTATGAATCCCCACAAATCGAAAAAACTGATAATATTTCATGAGACTCTATTATCAAGATTTATAAGTTTCCAGAAGAGAAAGGTATAATCCATGAAACAGTACATAAACGCTTCCCTTTCCTGTCTTACACTAATTCGAATGCATGGCATCGAGATGTATTTAAATATACTGATTCAGAAGCCAAATGCCCAGTATGCAATGAGGTACATACACGTCGAGGTATATGGGGTGATTGGAGCTGTCTCGGTAAAGATGATCACTATTTTCTTAATTGTTCATTTCGTATCAATCAAAAGAAAGTTATAATCGCTATACAGAGTTTGCCGGAAATTCAAGTAAGGGTACTAAACAAAATCCACCTTTATCAACCAGAGGCTGGCTTATGTCAATATGCCATTGAACATAAAATGGATCCTGAGAAATTTTCTATTATTACTGAGGCTGAGAAAAAAAGGTGGATAATGAGGTGTTTTCCTGCTGACTTAGAAAGAGATATACGTCTTTATCGCGGAGGAATAAAAAGGAATGAAGATACCAGAAAATATCATAAATTTTTAACAGATCGGGATAGGCTGGTAAGTGAAGAGTTATTACATCGCAGTATACTAAAGAGTAGATTAAGTACTGTATGACTTGATGATCTTATGAAAGAATGAGAAGAAATCCATACTCAATTCATACAAATTTTTCCTGACTTATCTATGTGATTGGGAGATGAATCTCTTCAGGTTTAAAGCCTATATATTGAGATAGTTTTTCACGTAATTCAACCATTTTATATATTCCTGAATCTTTAATATAAGTTTATTTCGAATGCACAAAAAATGAATCCGGTTTTAATCATATACAGTATATCAAACCAAATCAAATAGGTCTAATAATCCTAAATACAATATAATCCTCTAAAACGTTATAATACGTTAAATCACTTAATCGTTAAATATGGTCTATACAGATAAATGCCCAGTTTTGAGCGATACCGAATGGA